TACCCCCGGTTGAAAGAACTCTCCATCAGAGAGGTAAATAGTTGGTAGTTGTTAAACAAAATGGAGTCAATGGTGCGGAACTCCTCTACAGTGATCCATGTGACATCTAAATCTGAATGACCCTTCCAATGGACCAGGTATTATTGGATAGGACCTACATGAGTGATAATCGTCTGTTCATCCATGACAGCATCAATTGTGTCGGTAGGTGGCATGACAATGGGCAATGATGGAATTGGGGCATGATGGGGTTGTGTACCTACAGAGTTATCAGAAAGCAAAAAGGGTGGCTCAAGAGTACCTCGATAAGGAATAAGATCCTCGACATTAAATATTAGACTGATAGACATATTAGGAAGTAAATCTAACAAATAAGCATTGGGCCTTAGTTTTTTTGCAATACGAAAAGGGCCAAAAGCACGAGCATGTAACTTCTTCAGCTAATTTTTTGGGAAGCGCTCTGGCGCATGCAAGCCATAACGTAGTCTCCAACATCAAATTCTTAGGAACAACAGTGTGCATTGGTAGCCAATTTATATGCATCATTACTCATTGCTAACTTATGCCTAATCTCAGCATGAAGGTTGTGAAGGCGATGGGCAAAAGCTACGGCTAATTCGGATGTATGGGTTGTAAGAGGGATAGGTAAGAGGTCAATAGATTGTTTGGGGTTATACCCTTAAAGAATTTGAAATGGACTTTTACTAGTGGACCGAGTAACTGAATTATTATAGGCAAACTCTATAACCGGTTATACTAAATCCCAACTTTTTGGTTTATCACTAACTAGACTTTTGAGCATGTCACCTAAACTATGATTAGTTACTTTCGTTTGACCATCAATTTGAGAATGAAAGGCAAAGGAGAACTTTAATTGGGTACCAAACAACTTCCAAAGGGTCTTCAAAAAATAACTAACAAATTTGACATCCCTATCCAAAACAATAGAAGCAGGTAACTCGTGAAGACAAACAATCTCCTGAAAAAATAGCTTAGTGAGATAGGAGGCATCGGTGGTCTTGCTGCATGGTACGAAATGAGCCATTTTTAAGAATCGATTGATGACAACTTAAATCGAATCGTGCCCTCGACTGTCTTAGGAAAACCTAATACAAAGTCCATACTAATATCCTTTTAGGTTGCCTCAGGAATTGGTAAGGGTGTATACCACCCTGTATTTCTTTTTTGCCTTAGTAGTATGGCACGTGCGACATTGAGCTAGAATCCTCACAACATCTTGTTTGAGGGAGGGCCAATAAAACCTATCCTCTACTAAGGCTATAATTTTTTGACTACCAAAATGTCCAGCTAAACCACAAGCATGTAACTCTCAGATGAGAAAATCACACATTGAAGTGCGAGGGATACATAGCTTAGAGCCTCAAAATAAGTATCCATCGAGGACCAAGAACTCTGCGTGTTCACAATGACAGTCATCATTGACTTCTCAGTATATAAGTCTAAAATCAGGGCAAGAGGTATAATTATCCTTCAGTTTCTCGAATCCTATAATACTAACGGTTAATGTGTTCAGAAAGTGGATTCTTCTACTCAAGGCATCCGCTACCTTGTTCTCAACTCCAGCTCGATGATTTATAATGAAAGTGAATTCTTGCATAAATTCAACCCATTTAGCATGTTTGGCATTTAAGTGCCTTTGAGAGCTTAAGAATTTAAGTGCTTAGTGGTCTGAATATAGAACAAATTGTTAAGATAGGAGATAGTACTTCTAATGCTCAAGTGAACCAATAATGGCATAGAATTCCTTGTCCTACATCGAGTACCTTTGCCTTGCTTCATTGAGTTTTTTACTAAAGAATGCCATTACGTGGCTTTCTTGGCTAAGGACACCTCCAATTTCTACACCTGAGGCATCACATGCAACCTCAAAGAACTTGTGAAAATTAGGTAATGCAAGAACGGGGGTACCTGATAACTTTTCTTTGATGGTTTGGAAAGCCTTGGATGTAGCGGGAGTCCAACTAAATGTCTCTTTCTTTAAGCAATCGGTTATGGGTGTCATGATAGTACTAAAGTCTCGTATAAAGCGCCTATAGAAGGATGCCAGGCCATAAAAGCTTCGTATTTTATGGAGGGTCCTTGGTTCAGGTCGTTCTCGGATGGCCTTAACCTTATTTAGATCAGTGGCTAAGCCATATTTGAAAACAATGAATCCAAGAAAAGTGACTTGGCCCTATAGGAAGGAACATTTAGAGAGGTTAACATAGAACTGTTCCTCATATAGAATAAGGAGGACTTGTCAGAGGTGGACCAAGTGGTCATTCCTAGACTTACTAAATATCAATATGTTATCAAAGTACACAACCACCAATGTTCCTAAATACGGTCAAAATATGTGGGTCATAACTCTCATAAAGGTGCTAGGGACATTTGTTAAGCCAAAAGGTATAAGTAACCACTCATATAATCCCTCTTAGGTATTTAATGCATTTTTTCACTCATCCCCAGGCCTAATTTGAATTTAGTGATACCCACTTTAAAGTTTAATTTTAGAAAATCAAGTAGACTCGAAAACTAAGTACAGTGTGTCATTGAGCCTTGGGATTGAAAATTGGTACCTAACGATTATCTAATTAGTTGCTCGACTATCTACACACATCCTCCAAGAACTATCTTTTTTTAGGGTTAAGAGGGTAGGTACAGCACAGGGGCTAAGACTATATTGAATATAGCCTTTCTCGAGTAATTCATTAACTTGTCAGTTTAACTTGTCTCTATCTTTTAGGTTCTTCCTGTACTGTGACAAGTTAGAAAATTGTGATCTGAGAACTAAGTCTATTGCATGTTGGATATCTCTCATGGGTGACAATTCTAAAGGTAATTCCTTAGGTGTCACATCTTTAAGTTTGTCTAATAACTGGGACACTTCGATAGGTATAGGAGTTGGTGTGAGTTGGGTAATAACTTTTAAAACAATTGCAAGAATAATGTTAGCCTCCTTGCTTTCTTGCATAAACTACTTCTCTTTTAGTAAGTGGAGGTTATGACATTTCAGTTTTGGATCCTTAGAGTTAGGAGAACTCTTGCCTCCTGTTTCTAGTTTGGCAAGGCATACAAGAATAGTTTTGGGTTATGTCTAAATGTATGGGTATTTGCTTGACCATGAATAATGACATTATGGTCATAGATCCAAGGTTGTCCTAATAAGATGTGCAACATGTTTATGAGAAAAACAGCACAAAGGACTTCCTTTTGATAGTCACCTAAATGAAGGGGCACTCGGCATTTTTGCATTATAGGCAAGGAAGTGTTATCAATCCAAGCAATATGGAAAGGTTTAGCAAAAGGCTCCGTATTAAGTCCAAGTTAAGTAACGCCACGACTGGAGATCACATTTCGCTTACTTCTACTATCTATGACTAACTTGCATGACTTATCACCACACTTCATGAATGTGTGGAAGATATTATTCCTTTTCCATGAATCATCAAGTAATGGAATAGCTAATAGACATCGCATTACCCCAAGATGACCTAAAGGAACTTCATCAGCAATAATGTCTTCATGCACATCAGATGGGCTCTCGACAGGGTCTACTACAATATCAGGTGTACACTCAGCTAATACCCCTTCTTCTTGAAAGTTGAGGAGTAGAACACGTTGAGGGCATTTAGATGCTATATAGCCCTTAAAGTGACATTTGAAACATTTAATTGTAGAGTTGCTAGGATGAGAAATGGACCCTAAGGATTTGGTATTTCATGACATATTCGGCCCAATAAATTAGGAAGTTGACGTTGAGGTGTAAGGTTGCTAGGGTTACTCACAAGGCTACGATTATGGAATGGATCCATGGTTGAGAAATTGGTTCATCTTATAGATGGGTGTCGAGACAAATTATTTATCTCTGTAGATTTATGGTATACTTCTTTGAGGGTATCTGGATAGGTTATCCTAAATTCACATTATACGTCTGGTCTAAGGCCATTGATGAACCTTTCAATAGTTATCCAAGAAGCCTTAGCCACGTTTTCCTAATAAGGAGGTCATCGTATTGAGACACGTACTCAGATGCTGTAAAGGTTTACCTAAGGTTAAGTAGTTGATTGTACACTTGCTCATACAACTAGGTGGCACGTACTTCTCCTTTAGCTTTAGCTTCATCTTAACCTATATGTTTATAGGAGGTTAACCTAAGCACTCTAAATTATCTTGGACATTCTGCCAGTATTTCCTAGTAGATCCTATAAGCTCATTTTTGTAAAGCAAACACGCTGCATGTCACTCATGTTGTACCAGTCAAAGTAGTCATCCATAGTAGCTAACTAATTTAAGAAGTCACTTGGGTTTAGCCAACCATCAAAACTCGAGTGCTTCTACCTTAACCCTTTTAGTAGTTAATGGAATTAAGCTCTTGTTTAAAGAAGGATTGATTATTATAAGGGTCATGAATGGTCATGCAAGAGTAAAAGAAGACTAATGTGCAAGTTTAGTATAGTTATGTCTTAAAGGATAAAGGCCCCCAAATTTCCTTTACTAAAAGGTAAAGACCTTATTTAACAAGTGTAATCCGATGGAAACTTAAAAGCACCTTAAGAATCACACTTATTAGATAAGTAACAATTTGAATGAAGTTTTCACTATAATTTTAGAGGGTTTAAAAACCTTCAAGAAAACCATTACAAACTTCAACTAACTTAGGATAAAAGTTGGCCTGGGTACAAGCCAAACGTGTGTGAGGAATATGTGTAATCCTAGAAAGTGGAGTAAGCATAAATCAATAATAAGTAATGAAAATATAAATTAACTAAATGAAGAAAAAAATTGCAAACATACGTAACTTTTATTTTCTTTTTGTTTTTTTTCCTTTTTTTTGGCTCTCTCTCTCTCTCTCTATTTTTTTTTTGCTAAATAAAATTGAGACTACAAAATAGACTACTAGAAAATGCTCAAAATAAATAAATATTCAGATTAAACCTTCAAAAATTCTAAAAGTCACAATAATAAATAGAGGATCAATTGGATCTTACCAACGCAACTTAAGAAAACCGATAAATAAAAATATTTATCGAGATGATTATTCCGTCATAGTTCAGTTCTCATCACATATTCAACCCATGACAACTTCTATAGGGGATAAAAAAAGTACATGAAAACAACAAATTGAACATGCATCGAGATCACATTGTGAAAAGAAACATACGTTTATGTGTCTACTTGAAGAACTCCATAATCCAAAGGTTTCGAACAGAGCAATCAAATCTAATGCCTCTAAACCCAGCTAATGTGGCTAATTTCATGAACTCATGCTTGGTTCTCTCCTTGCCACCTGGGCAATAAGTCAACATCATGACATCAAATTGGGTGATGCCTTTCGCTGCAGCAGAAGTTTCTGATCCAACTGGTAAAACTGCCTCCACCACAATCACCTTTCTATCTTTAGGAATGGCGTCATGGCAATTCTTCAACAGCTTCAAGCACCGTTCATCGCTCCAATCATGAAGTATCCACTACCAAATTTATCCCAACAAACAAAGCCACACCTTAATTTTAACCTCTAATTGTCATTTATTATATATGTGTGTGTGGGGAAAAACTGTAAATAGTCCCAATTAAATGATTTATTTATAAATAATAAAGATCATGAATTTGTGAAAATACTATCAAGTATCTTGAGATTTGATTGTAATTAATTTTCTATACGAAATGATACAAATGATCTTGGACTCATCTGGTTTGACTAAAGTTGACTAGGTTGATTGATGGCTAGCATTTTGCAACCAAGTCATGATAATAATTCTTAAAATTTTTTTATTAGAATATTAATACTTTGATATTTAGAAATCAAACATATTGTAGATTCATGAGTTAAATCTGCTATATAAATTTGACTTATAAATATTAAAGTATTAACATTCCAGTAAAATTATTTTTGACTAGTCAATGCTTGATGATGATAACAAGTCATCACTAAAAATAAGAACCCTTATCCCACTAATATAATGATAATATCAAAGCCACACCTAATTAACCTCTTATAGTGATTAAATATATATATATATATATATATTGATAATATAATGAGAATATTACCTACTAACCCACCTTCATGAAGATGGCATCTCTTCCGGGCACGCTTTCAAACATATCTCCTTCCACGTGTTCCACTCCTGCAACGTCATTACAATCAATGAGTATGATTAATTGGATTGAAATGTCAAAGTAATTAGGTCATATAAATATACGTACATACCAGGAAAAGGAGGAGCATGTTGAATGACATGAGGCAAGTCGAAATTGATTCCTTCAATATGTGGATATTTGGATGTAATCAACTTGAGAGTAATCCCAACACCTCCACCAACATCGATGAGTCTAGTGATGTCCCCAAAACCTTGGTAGGATTCAAGAACCTTATTCATAACTATAGTACTATGATTCATCATCCCTTTGTCAAACGCGTGGTTCAATCTGGAGTCCATTCTCACATACTCAAACATTTGTGACCCATGCACCCTATTGAATGAAATACCCCCTTCCAATATTGCATCTTTCAGTTGGGACCTTCAAAATGTCCATATTATTAATGTAAGATATATACTATAAATACAAAGAAAATTCAATGGATGATCTTTAACTGGTCAGCTATTTTTATATTGAGCGGCATAAATGTTGAAACTGTTGTCAACTATCAAAGGATTGAGAATGTAAATTTTAGAAGATTACGACTACGAATTCTTAACTTGCAACTGGTGATAAAATCATATTTATGAAGAAGAAAATAAAATCCCACATATAATATTTCACATGAATGAAGCAATACTGTATAACCGTGAACAAACCAACTCAATATATAAATGTACAGTTCATCACTTTATATCAAAGCTACATATGGTAGACAAATAGAATTGGAAATTAATGATGTAATTTTATATTTTTGGGATGATGCAACAAACTTTTAGTCTATGAAATTTGGTTCGGTTATCCTTTTTTTTTTTTTTGAAAACAGGTTGGTTATCCTTTTAATCTCTCATATCTATTTTTTAAATTTTTTTTCATAATTTCTTTTAATTATAGATTCGGTCTTTATTATTTAGAAATGAAACAACAATGTTAAAATCAGCTATGTATATTAATTGAAAATATGTGTAATTTTAGGTAGTATCAAAAGATTATATTTACTTGAAAGCTAATTTAATTTAATTTAGCTACATATATATCAAGTTATTAACATGATTTATAAATTAGATTAATTTGAGAGTCAATTTATATTTTAAAATTTGAAAAACTAACATAATAATTTATAAAAATATTTGTAATTAAATTAATAAAAATTAAATTTAAATCACTAAATTAACAACACAGACAAGCTTGAATGACTGAAATGCTTAATTATCTCAATATTTTAGTTTTTTTAGATCTCTTTTGTTGTTGTTGCTGTTACCTTTGCGGAGATTTACGTTAATATGGCTTTGCACTATCACCGTCTTAAATTATGAGTCATTTTTTTTGACAAAGTTTTATATATTAAAAAATCTTATTAAATATACTTAATAACTTTATTTTTTAAAAAATAAATATATAAATTTTTAAAAATATCTTTCATTTAATATATTAAAAAGATATAAGAATGTGAATTAAATAGAAAACAAGAAATGGTAGTATTAAACTAAGTTTATTTAATAAAACCTTAATCTTTTTGAAATGCCTTATATTTTGAGATATTAAATTTCTCTCAAAATTGGCTTATAATTTGGAATTGAGATAATAGTATTTTATCTGATAAAGAGAAAAATATTATTCAAGGACTACTAGGCCAATTTAATATCAAACAAGGATAAAAGATTATGAATAACACTACAAGACATAGGAGACTGATTTGAAAATTGATTTTGTATGAGAAAAGATTGTAACACCCCTGCATTTCTTTTTTTTTAAAAAAAAAAACTTTTCAACTAGCAAATACTTTTTTTATTAAATGTGAATAGATATTTGTTAATTAACAAATGACTGTTTGTTGAAATATAATCTATACTTGTCCCTTCTTACATTCAAGTTCTTTTAGATATTTTAATTTATTAATTAGTGAATGACTTCTTGTTAAACGCAAATAAATACTTATTAATTAATAAATTATTACTTGCCAATTAAATAAAAAGGCTGAAATATTATAGTCTTTTTTCATTTAAAATTAATTTTCTATTTCTACAGTAATATTTCAAAGTTTTTTTTTTGTTATTGATTAATATTAAATATCCGTCAACATTTGTTGGATGATATTGTCACTAAAAAAAAAAAAAATCAAAGGCGCAAAGTTCCATGAAAGGGGAAAAAAACCAGAGCAGGACCCATCCCGTGCATGAAAAATACTGACTAACCAGCTATCCAGGAAGACCTTATCCTGAGCCAATTCAATGAAGGGGCCTAACGATGCACCATCCGCATTTCGAACAAAGAATTTGGCCACCGGGGAGAGGCTGTACAACCGCCTGTAACATCCCGACCCTCCATTCTCGTCAACGATAACGGAACAACGAAGAACAGAGTGAGACGCTAGAAGATGGAGGAGTCGATCGAGCGCGGAAGCTGCTTCTGGGTTCTTGCAAGAAACCTCCGACGCGATCTCGGCGGCGGAGATCTCGGTGCAGGGACCAGCTCTGTGAATGACGTCGAAGACGCCGAGCTCCACCGACGTTTGCATGGCCATGGAAATCGCAGTAGAAGTCGCGAGCATCGCGCAGGAGAAGCTCTCTTCGTCTTGTTCGTCTATTTCTGGCGGTGGTTGCCTCAATAGATGATTGTCTTCTTCGTTTTGGAGAGGCTTTAATGGAGAATGGGATTCGCTGGGCTGTGCCATGGATAGATTTGTAATATGGATCGGTGATATGTGCGGTCGAAGAGCTTTGGAGAATTGGTGTACTTATACAGTACTGGCAATGAAAAGTAAATATTCTCGATGCAGACGGTTAAAGTCAAAGAACGCAGCGCTGCTCTGGGGGAGAACTTTTGTCCTTGGATTTTACGGACTCAGATGCAGTTGTTATAAGCCACCTCTATTGAGTCATTAAAATTTATATTAAAGGTTAAAATAAACTCACTCATTCTTCATCTATTATTTTAAGTAAAATATAAAATTATAATTATTAATTTAAATATTAACAATTTAAATAATATAAATAATTAGTGCATGTATTAATTACAATCAATGAATTCAAATTTCAATTTTACTTAAAAGATTATTAGGACATCATACTTAATTATATTTTAATTTTATCTCTTAATATTAAATATATTTTTTTATCATTCTAACATTAAAACACTTAACATCCGTAATTATCAATGAGTTTTACTATTTTTTTAATATTTTTATTGAGTTAAAGGTCAATTTTACTTATTAACTTTTATTCAAATGGTTAGTTGGCATCTTTAACTCAAATATTTTATGATAAAAAATATTAAAAAATATAATATATGACCCATTATTGGTCAACAGATACTGAAAAAATGATAAAGTAATAAAGGAAAGAGCTTTTAAATTTAAAAGACATAATTGATTTATAATTAAATTTAAAATATTTAATAAATTTTTGAATAAAGTTGATAGATAAAAATTATTATTAAAGAAGTATATTCATAGCGTTCACATACAAAAATTAAAAAAAAATATAAGAAATATATAAAAAGTAAGATATATTTAATTAAGTGATATTTTAATAAAGTACGTATATATACAAAAAAAAATACAAGAGAAATTAGAAAAATATTTAAAAAAGAAAAAAGAGAGAGAAACAACTAAATAATGGGCATGCCTGGAATTCAAAAAGCGCGAGCCTTCCAGCATCATGCACCCATCATCCCAATGGCGGGCGTGGCCCCACTTACTATGGCCGTACGTAGTCCCGCCAGTGGAGCAAGATAAAGAAAGGGATAAACTAGTCCCTTAACAAACCCCCAACAAAAAAAACTTATTTTTAAAAATATGAATTAAATTTTTAAAAAATTAAGAATATGATTAGTTCATATTAATATATGAAAATGACAATTAGGTCTCAAAGGATTAATTTTATTTAAGATAAGTCCCAAAACATTCTGAAAGGCCAGTTAAATCCCTAGATCCTTGAGTGGCATTTTAATATAATGAGAAATGACCGAAATACCTTTATTTGGCTGATGAAAATGTGAGGTTTCTCCTTCTCTACTCTTCCCTGCCCTGTTCGTCATCCCTTCTTTCCCTGCCCTATTCCTCATCTCTTCTTTCCCTGCCCCATTCATCGTCTCTTCCCTGTCTCATTACAAGCGAGTAAAGCTCTCTATCATCTCTTCCCTGAACTGTCCAATAAAACTGTCTATCATCTCTATTCTAGTCCTATTTAACATTTCTTCTCTGTCCTAAGTGATCAGTTGCTTAAGTCATTAATCTGTAATCTGTTTTGGTCATTAATCTTTGATGGGTGTGATGCATTTGCCTAGCTGAAGAGTCTGATCCTCATCAACATTTACCATTTCGATTATGCAGAAATTGCTTCTTCTTCAATTTTTTTCCCTAAGTGTCTTAGCTGAAGGGGACTATGTAGCTTGTACAAGTGATGACATGCTCAAATGAATTTTAAGTTTAAAGTTATACATTGTACCCAATTAATCAAGTTTTCAACTTTATAACTCTGTAATTTGTTTTCACAATTTTATTCCCAACTTTTAATATTGAAACGTATTTATAATGTTCAAGTTATACATTATACCCAATCAATCAAGTTGTCAAGCAACTTAGATACCCAATTTTGCAACTAGCTTGAGACAATTTTGCCACTGCTTGTCAAAATTTTAGATGGAAGAACCATTAAATTTTTAAACAAGTTATTATTCTAGGACAATGCTCTAGTAATTTGTAATTCAGACACCAGATTTTGCAACTGTCTTATGAATAATTTGTAACTTCTTTTCAAAATTTTGGATGGAAGAACTATTGAATTCTTAAAGTTAATATTGTAGGATAATGCTCCAGTAATTTGCAATTGAGACACCAGCTTTAACAACTTTCTTACAAATAATTTGCACCTCCTTCTCAAAATTTTCAGTGGAAGAACTATTCAATTCTTGAACTTGCAAAGCTACTAAATTATTTTAGGACATGGCTCCAGTAATTTGTAACTGACATACCAGATTTTGCAACTTCATTAAAAATAAATTGCAACTCCTTCTCAAAATTTTAGGTGGAATAACTTTTGAATTTTTGAACTTACAAAGCTATCAAATTATTTTAGGATAACGCTCCAGTAATTTGCAACTGACATACCAAATTTTGCAACTTTATTATGAATAATTTACAACTCCTTCTCAAAATTTTGAGTGGAATAATTTTGAATTCTTGAACTTGCAAAGCTACCAAATTATTTTAGGATATGGCTTTAGTAATTTGCAACTAATATATTAAATTTTGCAACTTCCTTACGAATAATTTGCAACTCATTCTCAAAATTTTGGGTGGAATAGCTTTTAAATTCTTGAACTTGCAAAGCTATCAAATTATTTTAGGATATAACTCCAGTAATTTACAACTAACATACTAAATATTGCAACTTTCTTACGAATAATTTGCAACTCATTCTCGAAATTTTGGATGGAATAACTTTTGAATTCTTAAACTTGCAAAGCTACCAAATTATTTTAGGACATGGCTCCAGTAATTTGTAATTGACATACCAAATTTTACAACTGCCTTACAAATAATTTGCAACCTCTGTTCGAAATTTTAAGACAACACACTTTTAGTGATTGCAGAAGATATGAATTGTACATATAAGTTGCATGTATTAATTCATCTAATGCATCTACACATATCAGTTGTCCACATACAAAAAAGCATGAACTTGAATTTATAAAAGAGGGGTTGCTATGTATCAAACAAACCTCCCAATACTACCAATATATATGTATAAAAACCTGTATATGTTAACCAAATTTAACTTGATTTAAAATTACCCATATATGTATATCACCCAAATCCAAGTTCATGTGGTAACCCATTTACAATAACATCAACTTGGATTTAGATTTCTATACCTCTTCCGTGTACGGTCTGCTTCATGACAATGAGAACAATGATAAACCTTCTTTTGCTGATATTGAGACTCAATCCTCACATGACGAGGTCTGCTAGCTGATCGAGATGTTTTAGGAGGTAGCAAAAAGGTTTGGCTTATGAGCTTAGATACTGTCAATGCATTTAGCTTTGACATCTCATGGGTTTCAACATAATGTATAGTGCCATTGTATATTTTCTCCTATGAACTACGAAGATAACATGCATAGTGCAACACTATACTTGTAGATTGCTTGTCTACAATCATCAGCACTCGCAAAAATATGCTAAGGTCCTACTAGTAAATCTTTCCACTTTGTTACATTTAGCTCAGGCATTGGTGTTGGGATACTTTGTATTGCACATGATAGAACTTCAAGATCTTGTGTAGCATGTGAATTCTCAGCTGAACATTCTGCTCTGCATTTTCATTCAAATCATGTTTATTACTACCATCCATATTCATATTAACATAATATTAATTATGCAACTATTAAAAAAACTTACCCATCAATTGAATCTCTTGTTGCCTCTATACTTTGCTATATCTTCCCAATGATATATACATGAGCAAAATTATCATTCAATTTCATTAATTGATTTATCCCTTCATCATCTTTAAGGTTTAAAAGAGCATTGCAATCAAACTTTACTGTGTATTTCAACTCTATTCCATTTAAATCACAATTCAAGTATGATGAAATCAATCTAACAAGTCCTTCAAAAGACATTCCTTCTCTAATCATTCTTCCATTACAACTCCCCCCATCATAATGCATTATCCTATGCATATCTTTTACAATATCTCCACTAAAATGAAAATAACAAAAAATTTTCTTTAAACAACTACTTTTCATTGTACCCAATAATATCAGCCCATAAGAAACAAAATAAAATATAATAATATATCACTTAGAAACAAGTTACTTTTGACATAAGTGATTTTCGCATCAGTTAAATAGTGACAGCATTCCATCTTAAAATATGGACACTCAATAGTAATTTCTTACACTTTCAGTTGTAAAATGTCGAATCTTCATGCCAAATATTTAAAAACGTGAAATAAAAAAAAATCTTTTATGTTCAGTTGCAGAAAACCGTTTCATCTTTTTCCTTACGAAAGTCATTTTGCAAGAAATCAAACCTTCATGGAGTAAACCTTTTTGTTCAGATGCAAGGATTTGCAAAAAAAAAAAAAAAATACCTGTCTGCACGCACTAGCACAACTCCTTAAGCTTCCTTGAGTCAATAATTAAGGCAACTCACCTCTTCCAAGCATAACTCTATTTTAAGAATGGGTATTCTTCAATGTACAGCTCCACCACTTACATATAGCTCTCATCAATGGCGGGAAAGAGATAAATCGAGAGGAAAATGCTGGAGCTAATGAGTGTACATGTTATATTTACTCATAGGGGCATTTTCGTCATTTCTTTTGTAATTCTGATTGGGAAAAAACAGTATGGGACTTGATTGGCCTTTTAGAATTAGTTGGAACTTAACTGGTATAAAATTGATCCTTTGAGACTTGATTGTCATTTTTCCTATTAATATTTAATAGATTTATTATTAATATATATTCATTAAAAATTTAAAAATAATTTATTATTAATATATAATGGTATGTAATTTAATAGATTGTCATTTTTTTATTGAGTTTTATAATATGATGTAAAAGCCTCAGAAAAGTTAAAGAAAATTAGTTAAGTTATTAGCAGTACTTGTAATAAATATATGTTACACCAAATTATCCCTTTTTAATAATTTATATTGAAAACAAAATTTTAAAAATCATACTAAACACTAAATCGTTGAGATACTAATTTACAATTTATTGGTGGGACTGTAGTTGAACAGTGATTGTCGGA